AAAGAAAACATCAGAAAGTGGAGAAAAGTGTCTGTTCTTGGCATGAGGCTTTCCAAAGGAAGAGGAAGACTTCGGTGTAAACAGTGAACCTGGTGGAGCACCTGAGGGGGCGGCATTTCCTGCCCAGTCACCCTCCCTGAGGTTATATCCCGCTTTCCCAAACCTGGGGAAAGAGGAGCAGGACACTTGTCAGAGGGAGAAGAGGAGGCGTTAGAAAAGACACCCCCTAACACGCATACACACTCTCTGGAGCCCAGGGAGGCAGCAAGGAGGCAGGGGAAGGGGCCGGATGTCCTTCTGCTGCGAAGGTCAGACACAGCCCCGCAGCGGTGGTCCAGTCCAGGTGTGAGCAGGGCCAGGAGAACGACCCCCAGGTCCGCGCAGGTCCCCGGCCACAGTGCTGTTCGAGGGCTCCCACGTTAACTGAGAGGAGGCCCGGCCCTTAGAGCCTGGTGGCTGGAAAAAGGCCAGTGTCCGCAGTGACCTTGACGGGGCAATGACTGAAGACCGGAAAGGAGTAAGGAGCTGATGCCAACTCGGACAGAGGAAGACCCGGCCCCCAGGCCCACACTCCTCATCCTCGTATCTGACATAGTAGACGTCCCTGGGATTCAGGTGCAATCCATGAGACGGCAACAGGGAGAGAAAGGCAGTCTACTGGTCTCCTCCGCTTGACAGAAGGGAGTCTCTTCATTCAAATTCAGTTGCTTTGTACAGCTGAGTGGGTCCGCCACTAATTCTTGCTTTAGTATTTTCTCAGTTTTAAAAGATAATGTTTTGAAGGCATAATTGTAGAAACTCTTCACTTTTCTTGTTCCATCCATCAAAGACATTTCTTTAGGGAGACAGCACTTAATTGAGAGTGTCTGTGGAAGGAGGGGCTTCAGGGCAATCCCCCCCAAATCTCTATGCACGTCTATTAAATGGCTAAACTAAATACGTACAACGCCTGCCTCTTTTAACATGCTACCTTAAACATAATGGCTGTTCAATAAATGTTGAATAAGTAGAGAAATAACATTCTTCAATTCCTAGCACACTATTTTTTCCAAAAATTGGAGCAGCTGGAACCCACCTTGATTCTTGCGGCCCACCATGAAATGCAGGTGCGTGGAACTTCATCATATAAAGTAGGAGTAATTATACCTCAGAAATATGATGGTCTATAATACACTGTCTACTGTATGAAATCATAGCCACTTCAATGGTGAACTTATCAATTTCTTCTTGTAGTTCTGTTAAATTTTTCGGTACATATTTCAGGGCTTTGTTTTTAAAGGCATACAGTGTTCGAGTTGTTACACTTTCTGGGTGAATTTTATTTGCTATCGTTAAGTTGCAGCACTCTTCATTTTCAGTAATGCTTTTGCCTTAAATCTTCTCGCCCTAAAGGAAAGAGCAACATCTGCTTTCCATTGGTTTCTTTTTGCCTAATTTAGCTTTTTATATCCCTTTACTTCTAACCACTCTATGTGTTTATGTTCCCTGTAAACTCTACATTTTATTTTTCCTTTGTAAAATTCTAAATTGACACTCTTATTCTTTTAGCTGGAGAGTCTGGATCCATTTCCATTTATCATGACCAATGATATTTTTAAACTTTTATTTTGAAATAATTATGGATTCAAAGGAAGTTGCAAAGGAGTCACTATACATAGTTGAAAGTTGTGTTCCTGCCCTTTTATTTTATGCTAATGAAAGTCATCCTTTACATGCCGCTTACCATGAGGATCCCATGTCAACTATTACATATGCTTTGGAATTAATTATTAAGGTGGTAATAACATCATAATTGATGCTGCTTTGCCAGGTTCTGAGAGTGCCAAGCTTCCTGCTTGGGCGCTAAGTGTCTCTGGGACAAAACAAATTTACTTACTGCTCCAGGAAACACAAAAGTGGAATAAGGAATTACACAGCTGCCAAATGTGCCCACCGTGCAAGGGTAAATGAAGCCCTGGGAGAGTTGTTCGAAGTTGATAACATTAGTCAATATGGCCACTAGAGGGAGCTCACATACAGCTATTTTTAAAATAGTATTCTAGGTCTCTAATTTTTATTAAAAACCTATAAACAGCACACAAAACTAATAAACAAAAACCTTACTACTTTTCTTTCTTTTTTAAAGCTTTAAAAATATTTTATTTATTTATATTTAGAGGGGAAGGGAAGAAGAGAGGGAGAGAAATATCAATGTGTGGTTGCCTCCCAGGTGTCCCTTGCTGGGAACTGGCCTGCAACCCAGGAATATGCTCTGACTGGGAATCGAACTGCAATCGTCTGGTTCACAGGCCCACGCTCAATCCACTGAGCTACACCAAGCAGGGTAAAACCTTACTACTTTTCAAAAAGACATCAAGTGCAGCCTCAAGATAGCACACAAAAGTAATTAAGTCAAAGCAGAGACTCACATGGGAAAGAAACTAAGACCAAGTATATGCATCCACAAGAAATGCACTTTAAATATAAAGACACAGATAGGTTAAAAATTTAAAAGTTGGAAAAAGCTACAGTTAAAGGAATATTATCAGGAATAAGTAAAATCATTTTAGAAAGAATAAAGAGGTTGCTTTATCAAGAGGACATAACAATCCTGTTTCTGCATCTAAATCCAGAGGTTTAAGAGACGTGAAATAAATATTGAAGAAAGAGGCAAATCGACAATTTGAGTCAGATGTCCCAATAGCTCTGCATCAGTTTTGTAGGGCTGCTGTAACAGATGATCACAAACCGGATAATAAATAGAAATTTTTTCTCTCACCGTCCTGGAAGTTAGAAATCCAATATCCAGGTATACCAGGACACAAGAGCAAGGTACAAACATAACTTGTTTCTATATGTTAACAATGAACTTGGAAACTGAATAAAAGTAACATGTACAATAGCATCTCAAAGATAAAATACTCAGAACTAAATCCGACATAATAGATGTAATGCAACTCTGATCAAAATCTCTGCGGGCTTTCTTGGGGTAGAAACTGACACAAACTGATTCTGAAATTCCTACAGAAATGCAAAGGACTTAGCATGGCCAACATAACTTCGAAAAAAAGCAGACATAAGTTCAAGGACTGATACCACCTGACTTCAAGGTATTTAAAGATCCAGTGATCATGACGGAGTAGCATTACTGTGGCTCCGGGACCATTGTTTTAGATTTGCTGGGTACTCCTGTATTCTTGTACTGTCTGTATCTATATTTGCCTAATGTAAAAATATTTTCATTGAGATTACATTCAATCACAAGGCTACTTAAAGAAGAATTTGCATTTCTAGGTAACATTCAATAGTTTTACCATGAGCACTAGATGCTTTGGGACTTTTATTCATAGGAGATACTTTATCTTTTTGATGCTGTTTTAAATGGGATTCTTTCTTATATTTCTCCAAAGAGTGTTGTTTGCCTATAGAAAGACTATTGACCTTTTTAGATCTGGATTGAATCATGTTAAAGAAGTTTCACATTGTTGCAACAGTTTTTCAATTGATCCCTTTGAGTTTTCCAGGTCAGAAACCAAATCACCTGTGAATTATAATCATTTAAGAAGTAAAATGACCTTTCCAATTACTGTGTCCCTCGTGGTTTTTTCTCTGTTAATTGCATTGGCCAACATCATCCATCAAATGTTAAAAAATAATGGAGATGACAGACATTGTGTTTTTCCTGACTCTATTTTTTTAATTTTTAATTTATTTTTAGAGAGAGAAGAAGGGAGGGAGGGAGAAAGGAAGAGAAACATCAACCTGTGATTGCCTCTAGTGTGCCCCCTACTGGGGACCTGGCAGACAACCCGGGCATGTTCCTCGACTGGGAATTGAACTGGCGACCCTTTGATTCACAGGCCAGCGCCCAATCCACTGAGCCACACCAGCCAGGGCAAGTACTGACTTTATTTGTAACACTTCTAATGTTTCCTCATGAAGCATGATACTGAATTTTTTTTTGCCATATAGTAGTTCCCCCCCCCCATGGGTATACCTTTAGAAACTACCCATTTTATTTTATTTTATCAGCAATTTAAAAAATTAATAATGGATTTAACACAAAAATTTTAAAAAAATAAGTTAACCATGAAGAATATCAATAAGTTCGGTTTATTGAACTTCAATTAATCAATTACATTATGCATCAGTTTGCTAGGGTTTGCCCTAAAACAAAATATTACCACAGACTGGTGACTTAAACACCGAATTTATTTTCTCACGATTCTGGAGGCTGGAAGTCCAAAATCAAGGCGGGGCAGGTGTGGCCTCTCCCCCGGGCCTCCCTCCTCGGCTTGCAAATGTCGGCCTTCTCACCTGTCCTCCTCCATCTTCCATCTGTGTGTGTTCTAATTTCCTTGTCTTGTGAGGTCAGGAATCATATGGATTAGGGCCCACCCTGAAGGGCCGCATTTTAACTTATTTATTTTTTTAAAGGCCCTATCTTCAAATACACTCACGTTCAGAGGTACTAGGAGTCCTAACTTTAACACAGGACTTTGAAGGGGGCACAGTGGAACACGTAACACACCACGAAGAGTGGAAAGGCCACCTACCCATCGGAGAGGAAAAAGACACCCAACCCTATTTAAAATTGGATGAAGTATTGGAAGGAAACATAGACTTGGCAAAAGAGATTATGTGCATAGTTAATAAATATATGATAAGGCGTTCAACATTATTGCTCACCACGGAAAGTATATTAAGTTGAATCACATGAAAGCACCGTTTCTATAAGCCAATTTTCAGCACCTTTATGATTCAGTCATTAAAAAAAAACCCCACAGTGAGATACCACTACAGCCCAGAATGCTGAAGTTAGAAAGAACAGTTGGCAAGGGTTGGCAGGGGTGTGGAACGACTGGAATCCTCACGCACTGCGGGTGGGGATGTGAAATGGTACCGTCACTTTGGAAAACTCCTTGATGGCACCCACTAAGGCGAATCACGCGCTTGCGCACCGCCCCCCCCCCCGCCCACCCACCAACTCGGCTAAGATATGGAAAGCTGAGCGTGAACCTCGAGTACCCTAAGAAAACGTTCTAGGGAAATTCCAATAGGACAGAGAGTTTGGTCACGAGCAGACGCTTCCCCGAGCAGCCGGGGTGGGGAGAGGTCCATGGTAAGTCCCCCGTGTTCACTCTGCGAAAGCGGGCGGCCTGGGTGGCGGAACGCGTCTCCGTAGCAGCGCCTGGTGCAGGACTCTGTCAGCCTGGGAAATTGCTCTGCTTTACCCAGAGGGGAGCAGGGCGATTAGCTTAATACAGAAGGGACAGAGTTGCCTTTAGATGAACTCCTCGCTTGCATTTGACCTGCCCTTACCTGGCCCGGTGCTGGGGTTCAGAGAATCCCGATATTCCTGGTTGGTGAGCGCTTCAGGAGCTCTCCCCCACCCGGGCCACCAACCCGCTGTAAGGGGCGCTACCAGGTCCTCGCTCGCGGCCGAGGGCCGGAGGGAGGAGCAGACCAGCGCCGGCACCCGGCTTCCCGTGGCCTCCCTACTCGGCCCCGGGGGTGGCGGGCACACGGCCGGGCGCGGTGGAGGGGTCTTCCGCATCCCTCCTGGCCGCCTCTGCAGGGCTCTTCCCGGGCTCCCCGAGGGGCGCTGCGGGCTGGGACAGTGGGCGCTGTCCCGTTACCTGTGGCAACCTCTACCTCGCGGGAAGCTGAGCCCCCACAGCCCAGCCCAGTGCCCCGCGGCTCCTCCCGGAGCAAGAATGGGTCACACCAGGGGACAGGAGCCAAGGTTCCGCGTCTTGGGGAGCGGTGGGGACGCGACCAGGTGCGAACTAGGGACGGGGCTGGAGGGAAGCTGGGTGGGATCCGTGCGCCCCACGGTTCTGTGCCCTGCGCGGCGCGCAGCAGCCTGGCTCCAGGTTCCCAGCCGCCGGGGAGACCCGGTTGGCGGGAACGCTGGCTGGAGCGGGCGCGCCCCCTTCCGCCCGCCAGGCTCGCGGGGCGCGCGGCCCTCCGCTGCCGCGGCCGCCTCCCCCTGCGCCCCTGAGCCGCAGTCTCCGCCGCGGCTCCTGGAGCGGCTCTGGCGCCCCAGTGCGGACCGTGCGCCGCCGCCGCGGCCGTCGGGAGGGACTGTGCTCACGGAGACGCCCGCAGCGGCCCCAGAGGCCCGGGAGGAGCCGGACGCAGGTGAGCGGGCGCGGTGGCCCGGCTGCTCCCGGGGCTGCGGGGTCAGCCGGCCGAGATGCTGAGGCCGGCGCAGGGTGCTGGTCCTGCTTCGGGGCGATAGGACAAAACTCACGTCTCGAACTCGCTGCGCCCAGCTGCCTACGGGCCCCTCACTCGTCCTGGGGGTTCCTCCACCGCGTTTGCGAGGCTACGACCCCGTGGGAAGGACACGCTTCTCCCCCAAACTTCACTCAGCGGTTGCTTTGCGCTGTGCACTGCGCTAAGTCTTCACGTCCGCCGGTACCGCGCAACGGAGGCAGGTGATGCTCCCTTTATTGGAATCGACTTGCTGGCGGCCTCGAGAGGCCCCGGCGCTGAGGACCCCTCCAGCCCCGGGCAGAGCTGCCCGGCACCTCCAACCCCAGCCTCCCCAGGAGCGAGGCTTTCCCAAGTTCCGCTGTTCCCTCCTCAGTGTGAGTTGGGTTCCATTCAGCAAATTTCACTTTCTACCTCCGTGCCTCCCTCTCTTTCTCTTTCTTTCTTTTTCAGTCACCAGGTGTTGGGTTCGGCGGCAAGGAAGCAAAAATGACCAAGACCCTGACCCTGCCTTCAGGGCGCGTACAGTTTAGGTCCCTGGGCTGACTTTGCGGGTATCTATCTGCCTTTCAGCCGCTTATTTCCGCTGGGACTTACCCTGAAGTTGGGGAACTGACCTTCATCTTGGTTACTCCGAGGTGCTACTTCCCTGTTTGAATCCTGTAGGATGTCTCTCTACTTTTACAGGATAAAGTCTTAACACTTCAAAGCTGACTTAGCCTCACTCCTCTCCAGCCACATCCGCCTTTAGTTTCGGCTGAATCCATGAACTGTGGCGCCTAGTCCTGGTGTCTTGTCTCAAACTGGTCATCTGCTCGAATTCCTTTTATCCGCCTTAGCCACCCCATGTGGTTTAACTTCTTTTTCTTTTTGAAGATGTTATTTATTAGAGAGAGGGGAAGGGAGGAAGAAGAGAGGGAGAGAAACATCGACATGAGACAGAAACATCATTGATGGCCTCTCGCACATGCCCTGGCCCGCAATCCATGTATGTGCCCTGACAGGGAAGCCAGCCAGTGACCTGGTGGATCGACGCCCGGACACCTGAGCCACATGAGTCAGGGCCTCGTTTACCCAGCGTTGTATCTTTGGAGATATAAAGACCCTATTCTCCAAATACAGTCGCATTCTGAGGTCCTGGGGTTAGAACTTCAACATACGAGTTTCTGGGAAATTCAGTTCTGCCCCGTAACACTTGCCAATACTTTGCTGTATAGATCTGGATAGTTTTTTTTATTTTTAGTTAGTTATTTTATTTTTAGACAGGGGAAGGGAGGAAGAAAGAGAGGGAAAGAAACATCACTATGTGGTTGCCTCTCATGCGCCCCCTGCTGGGGCCCTGGCCTGCAACCCAGGCGGGTTCCCAGAACCTGACCTTTTGGTTTGCAGGCCAGCACTCAGTCCACTGAGCCACACCAGCCATGGCTAATCTGAATAGTTTTAAGAACTAATTTAATAGTTGTAAATGGTATTGTGTCATTAACCTGTATTGACACGTCTCTCTCCCTCATTAGCCCATAGTTCTGAAAGCTGAGTCCTTTGTTTTATTGAGCTTTGCAGCCACACGGGGCAACACACAGTTGGAATTTGGTCAATTCTTGTCATTCGAATTACATTCTTAAATCAACTAAAAAACAGTGGTTTAGTGGGTTCTGTAGACTTGGCTGGTGAGAATTCTTATTACTAAAATACATTCTTTCAATTTGTTTTTATTAATTTCAAGTTTCATAAGGTATACAGCAGTCATCCATGTAACTAATTGTCTGTCTTGACTATTCAGCTCTCTGCTTTTTTCTTCTTTTCCTGTGAGTCTCTGAAAAGCACTTCCCTGGTTTTTAGATCCCATGCGAGGTGGGGACACAGCAAGCCAACAACAACACCAGCCTAACTTGCTTTGTTTTTAGTTCCTCCAAAGGTGTGAGTCAGTTGAGTAAAATGAAAGTTGAAAATGAACTCACAGATTGTTGTCTAATTAGAAAAGACACTCGGTCTAAGTGTTAAGCATTTGCTTTTGCATACTCTTTAACGACTTTAGGAATGACATGTTTTTATAAAATTTTGAATTTAGTCGTAAATATACAGGTTCTAATTAGAAAGAAACAACTGTCCATCAGAACATTTCCACCCTCGCTGATGTGGCTCAGTGGATTCAGTGTTGGCCTGTGAACCAAAGGGTCACCAGTTTGATTCCCAGTCAGGGCACATGCCTGGGTGGCTGACCTGGTCCCCAGTAGGGGGTGAGCAAGAGGCAACTACACATTAACATTTCTCTCCCACTCTTTCTCCATCCCTTCCCCTCTCTCTAAAAATAAATAAATAATAAAATCCTTTTAAAAAACTTCCCTGCCGATTTCTCTTCCTGGATGTTCTAGTGGGGAATGAGCTCTCTCCTGGACTGTGTGCCTGGTATGTAATCATTATCTTAATTCTCCAATTAGAATGTGAGCTCCAAGAAGACAGTCTTTATGACTTCGTAGCCCTATACATACATACTTGTGTCCTATACATACATAGCAGATACTCTTCAAAAGTTTGCATGAATTACCCTGCTTGTTCTCCACCATCTTCCTGTGACTCCTAACAAGAAGAAAAAATTGAAAATCCCAAACATAGGATTTACATGGAAACTTTGCCAAGTAGCAATATCTCATCTCTCTTTCTCTCTCAGAGGCTGGAAAAGGAAGGTTTCTTTTCAGTCCTGAAAAGGTTTGACTTGCGTCCGAAGGAGCAATAGCTGGACGATTTCCTGAAGAGATGCCACCTTATAAAGAGCACAACAGGCATGAATTATTTGGATGTCCCCAGGAACATCCAGGATTGCAGGGAGGAAGGGATCACACACAAAGTCCTCTCCCAGCCTGTGCACAGGCTGCAGAACATCCATATTGTTATTGTGATTTTCCTGATCCACTAAGTCCTGCCAGACCACTAATGAACTCTCAGGGAGGCTCAGCTTTTCAGAGGCCCCTGCTTCATGGGGCAGCGCCTCCCCACAGACCTTGTATAAATGGACAAATGGCAGATGGGCCCGTAGAGCATCTGTGAGGACCAGATCTTGGCCTCCAACCCATTCTCTCTACCAAAGGCAAGGAGGCCTTCCTACATTCGAATCCAATCAAATCTGGTCTTTGGGAACAAAGCTGCTAGAGGATGAAGCTACTCTGTGTTGTGACTGAAATTACTAGTATCATTATCAGAATGACTTTCGTATAAGAACCGATTTGCCTTCCCTGGCTGAGGAGGTTGCTGGGGTGTGTGGAAGGTTGTGGGAGTGCCCACTGGGCATGACTCACCTCCCCCTGACCAACTCCTTAATTTTACCAGTGCCACACTTTATTTTTAGCTCTGGCCTTCTGCAGCACTTGACCTTTCGCCTGGATAAAGTAATGCGCTGTGGAGCTCAGACCCACAGCCTCCCCTGTTTCATGAAACATATGGGGTATATTATTAGGTTATGGATTTTTTGGAAGCCTGCGATCTAGAATGGTCTTTTGGGACAAAATAAAGCTGTTTATATTCACACACACACACACCCTTTTGGTAGCATTATCTTGCACATTATCTTGCACTTTTACAAAATATTTCTTGTGCCATCTGCTGCAAGAAATTAGTATAATCTTAACACTAGGGAAAATATTCTTACAATGTGGATAAGGATCACATACCACACCATACAATCTGCTTGTTTTAGAGTAAATTTAGAACAAAGCTTCTGAAGAAGAACGAAAAAACGTAGAAACAAGCTTCCAGTATAGAAGAGTAGTTAAATAAATCATAAAATATTCATCTGATGAAACACCACGAAGCCGTTAAAAATGATTACCAACATTTTTTTAATAAGCTGGGATGATGCTAATGGGATAGCAAATGAAAACACGCAAGTCCAAAATGATCGGCACCACA